GGGCGCTAACAGGCATGAGCGACGGCTTCATTGCAATTTCTGCTGGACAAAGGAAGTTTAACATCCACAGCGATTCATTTTGCTTTATGCCGCCAGTCACAAACAATGTTCTCCGCTTTACAATTGGTAAAGTTTTATGGCGGATCTAAATCTCAGTCCTGTAAAAGAAATCGCAGAAGCCAGTGGTGATTCTCGAATCTGTCTGGCTGCAGGATGTCCACCAATACACGTCCCTGGCCTCCGGTGTGTCCACTCCACAGCAGGCTGGAGAGCAGTCTGGGAAGCCCCTTCCAAAACATGCCTCATCTCCACGGGGTATTTTTGTTTGTTTGTTTGTTTGTTTGTTTGTTTGTTTGTTTGTTTTACAAGAAGCATAGTTCTTTGTGTGGAATTTTATCTGGACTCAGTTTATGCAAAATGAGACAACTCACAGGAAACTGCTCAGCAGAGTTTTTCTTGACTTTTCCTTGGCACTGCACCTCATATATCGTTGCCAAATGTTATGTGGATTTGAAGTGATTGAAAAGAGGCTCTATTTCCTGTGAATAATTTGTCCTTGCTCAATCCTGATTGTCACTTGCCTAGAACTTACTTAATTTCACATCCCAGCAAATACAGTATTTCCCCAGCACAGTGATAGCATCACTCTCCTGGTTACTGATCATACATATCTGTAATTGAATTACCTGTAACAGTAATGTGATCTACTCTCAAATGTACATAAAAATGCAGCATGAAATAAAATCGTTCCAGTGTATACTTCCTCATCATTCTGCATGAATTCTAGGCTAGCCAATTCCACAGAGATACAATGACAGATAATGAATGAAAGATGAGAAGATAAAAGATTAGTAGGTTCATGGCCTTCCAGAAATAAAAGAAATTCATGGCTTTTTAAAAAAACTATTCTTTTGAAAGATAGTGTTTTTCAATATTACTCAGAAAACCAACTTTAGTATATAAGGTGAAAAAGAAAGAATGAAATGATTTTTTTCAAATGCAGTAGTACTTTGCCAGTATATTTTAAAACTTAGAAAAGGGAAATAAAGTGTCATCTTTGCTCTCATCAAATAACCATTAATCTTGGACCAAAAGAGGGGACTTTTTAAAAAGACAACAGTAACTCTTTTGAGAAAAATGTTCTGTTTTTTTGAGCCCACTGTTGGGTTAATCCTGTTTTAAATGTCATGCCCCAGGTGAAATATAACTTCTCTTTGAAGTTGCCTGGCTTCAAAATATTCTGTGGCATTCAGAGCCAGGTTTCTTAGCCCTGAACCTTCAGATGACAAAGAGTAATGCTCTTTATAATAGATCACTTATATACACTACCTTCTCTTGGATCAAATTTTCATTTGCTTTGTTCTATTTGGCTTAAATTCTGAATCAAAACAAATTTTGGGTAGGTTCACTGAAAGTGAAAAGACTATCTATGTATATTCTAAGTGCTTAAATGGTTTTTTTCCTTTTCTTGCTGTTAGAAATTGATTTTACATATCAGCTAACCAGGACCTGACAAATATATCAAAGAAATAAATGACATATTTATCAAGCATACCAAAAGTTTCTTCTTCATTCTACTTGCCAATGAGCTATTCCTCACCTGTTGAATTTATCTTTAGGATGCAACAACCTTGTGCAGGAATAAGAGACTGCAGGTCTCGCCCTGTTTGTAGCAGGTCATTTCTGCAGCAGGCGGGAGAGTGAGAAAGACTAATTTTCAACAAAACTTCTTCATTTCAACATTAAAAGGTTGCTGGGAACATATGTGAAAATGTCTATATTACAAGAGTACATAAAGATAACGTAAACAACTTAAAACATATATACATAGTCATCTGAGGACTCAAGAAAAAGGTTCACTTTCTCTGTCTAAAGTTGCACAAAGATACAAGTAGGCAGAAATGGACGAGGTCTCACACACTTTGCATGCAGGTATAGCTCAATGTGATACTGTAAATTACATTTTAAAATTATTTAACACTAAACATAAAAACGTGTCCCTTGGTTTACAATTATACCCTAAGCACTTTATCTAAGTAACTAGAGCAACAATGTCAGAAGCATTTTAAGACAAATTTGGTATAACTGTAGAATCAAGAATTATGAAGAAGTTACCACAGGGTGTGGGGCCACTTTTCCCTTACACTGTACACACACTCCTACAGAACTGGATTCCTTGACTGGGACATACTACAAACTGATTGATTTGTTCTATCCTGCAAACCATATGATTTGTAATCCAAACCTCTTCTTAAGGATTAGTTTCCAATCTTAGTTAACTCTAGAGTTCATGATTACTTGTTTATGTGATGGAATGCCTTTATACCTTTGGCTAGACACTAATGTGTATCAGAAGCAAAGCCTTAATTTCAATGATTTACAACCCCAAAAAAAGGAATCATTAAAAATAATCGCCAAGTTAATGAAAAACAATTTAATGGTTCGGTTGAGCAGCTCTCTCTAATATCAAGAACATCTGACATCTCAAGGAGCTGGCATCTGTTATTTTGAGCAATTAGCATACAACAGAGAGAAAAGTTTCTTAATTTTAATATGTGTCCCTGATCAAGAGCCTAAAGTGACTGCGAAGCAAGATTTCTTACTGCAAGACCATGGGCAGGACTTCAGAAGGACCACGAACTCTCTAAAACTTAAGGCAAAATCTCTGTGAATATGTATGCATTCGCTAGGGTCCCACAGCCACCACACTATATGTTCCTATGTTTCATTCTATCCAGAAATGGCAAACAAATAATTTTTTTTAAAAAGGGCAGTGAAGAACACAGGCTTATTATTAGCAAATTCTGAACATCTCAAAACAACGTCTTTTGGACAGAGACAAGTTTGACCACCCAGGAGACCAAAGTCTTTGCTCTCAGCAGGGATCTCGCAGCTGTTTGCCATTAAAACCATCAAATAAGTTAGCACAATTCCTAAAAGGCATAAAGTGATCAGTATCATCCATCCTCACCCTATTTAGAAAAGTGTATAAACAGGCTAAACACATGCAAAAGCAGGTACTAGTTCATCCCCCCTCCCCACGGTGCCATCCACCCACTGTGTGCTGCAACATCCAGAAGGAGCTGTTACTTTGTGGCAAAGTTTTCAAGAGAGAAACTCAAGCAAAATGAAATCTGTGTTTCAGTGACCCAAACAGTTACATTATGGACTGCTTTTCATTAAAAACAAACATGGATAAAAATCTTTGGCAGAAAAAAAAATCCATGTTTCCTCTGTGGTAAACAAAATCAGCAACCAGAAAAGTTATTTAAGTGATATACAACTTACGCTATTACTGCTTGAACTGAAATTGTGAACTGGTCATTCAAAATAGTACATGATAAACATTACCCTCTGTTCAATAATGAAACTAGCATTAGTTAGCAATTAATTTAGCAGTGCTAATTAGGTGTTAAAAATCTTACCTAGTAAAGTCTGTTTTTGTCTTTCTGTGCCTCCTTAGGAGAGGCTAACTATATAATATATCTCCTGTTCCCAAACTTGGCCGTGATGACAGAGCTCTTCTGGAGACGCTAATGGTGATATACGATTGTTTTCCTTAAAAACAAGCTACAACAATCATCTGTAACTCCTGGCATTTTAACTAATGATCTCCTGAGAAGCAGAACTTTATGTCAGTATTAAACATAAATCACATTACCTTCACTCAATTTCGATTTTTTTTTTCCTGAGTAGACAATCGTCACAGGGAGGAAAACAGATGCACAGACAGGAAGAGTTTGCAGTAGTATGTGTTTGTCTCTGGAAGGAACCTTTCTATTTAAAGGACTTATGTTTGGCAACCACCTTTCCTGTCCCTTCTTCTAGGAACGCTGACAGCTCCCTCTGGCCCACGGATCAGCTGCCGCCACCCTCCACCCCTATGAAATTATTGCAAGATCTGCATGGTCCTGCTGTTTGCTGACTGGGACCCCCATCCACTCATCCAGGCAGGACCTAATCGCTGCTCTCTGCATCCTCTCTCGCTCTTCCAGCGCTCGCTCTCAGCGCCCCCTTCCGGGGGTCCCCGGGACGCCACAGGCGCAGGAAAGTTAAATCCCAACTCTGAGCAGCCTCATCCAGGTACAAAGCAAGGCAAGGGCGAGGAGGTGAAGGCGCTTCCCGCCAAAGCCCGGGGAATCAGGATCTGGCTCTGTTAGGACCCACACGCGGGCCGCAGGAAGCGATCCCACAAATACTACTCCTCCGAGGTGTTTTCCCCGGACATCTAGGGAGCACCAGTTCCCTCCAGCTCCCACATCAGACTCCATCCCCGAAACCCTGAGGCAGAGGATGCGAAATTCGCAGAGGGCGCAAAGATGCCCACAGAAAGGGGCTCGCCCGCCTGCAGACCACTGGGCAGGCGGTTCCCTGGGCCTCTGCATCCTGGCAGCGGCATTGTGAGTGGTTCCCGGCCTCAATCTCACCCATTAACCAAAGTGCTTGGTGGAGTTGAGCCCAAATCCCACTTCCTCCCAGCTTCTCACACGCGCGCGGCTAAACCACTGTAACTGCAACAGAAAAAGCTGACCCAGCCGGACTGCTGGCAAGGCTGTGGGACCACAAAGGGCCGGACACGGGACCCCTGCCCTTCGCTCTCGTCGATGCATGCCTGGGCGCGCGCGGGATACGGGCACACACCTCCACTGAGAACCTTCCCGGGGTGTTGGGTAAGGGCCCCATCTGGCCCACCGAGTGGTCGCCCATGGGGTCGTTTCCGCTCCTTACCTCTCTGCACCCTCGAGCCTCGGCAAAGGCAGGGACACAAACTTCCAGCTAGTGCACTAGCTCCACTGTGAGAACCTCCCCACTAATGGTAGTCCTCCTAATCCTATACGCCCCACCACCCGCGGTTCCCCACTCAACCCTGATGACAGACCCTGCCCAACATCCACATGACCCACCCTCCGATCACTGCCGCCCCCGGGTCCCGGCCCCAGCAGTGCGGTACAGCAGGGGTTGCGGCCACGGCCACGCAGGGATGGGGAGGTGTCGCTCACCAGGTGCGATGCGCGCTCCTCGTACCAGTCATCCAGCGCCTGGAACCCCGGAGAGATCTGAGTGTCCTCTTCAGTGCCCGGCGAGGGAAGTCGAGGCAGCAACCGCCACCGCCCCCTCCACTTCCCCAGAGCCGCACCCGACTTGCTACGCTCCCGGCGGGGGATGCCACTTAAGCGGCAGGTTCACGGTCCCCTGGAGCGCAGCTGGCCGGGGGGTGAAGCAGGTTCTTTCACTGTGGGGGCGACGGGCAACGAGGCAAAGTTGGGTGCCCGAACGAGCTCCGCAGGGAAGCCCCCGGGATGGACCACAAGGACCGGGATGTCCTCGCGGAGGGGAGGTGAAGTCTGGTGGCCGCCGCCCGGCAGGGGCCGCGGCCGGTCGGGGGTCACGGAGCCCACCCGCTGCGGGAGGGCAGCGCAAGGGAGCGGGCGCAGCTACAGCAGCCGCCGCCGGCGCCGCCTTCCCTGCGAGTAGAGCGGCGCGGGGAGCAGGCGAGAAGCGCGGGGCGGCCTGGCCCCGCCCCCGCCCCGCCCCCGCCGCCGCGCCTCCTCCGCCCCCTCCCAGCTGGAGTGAAACCCGAGCGCTCACCCGGCGCCTGACCTCCCAGGCCCCACCCCCTACACCGCCCCTTCCCCAGACTGGACCCCCTCCGAGCCTAGGGCGCCTCTGCACCCCCCAAAACCCCACTACGGCCTCCCGGGTGGGAGTGCGCCTGAGCCTGGACTTTCGGGGGCTGCCTCCCCCTGGACACCCTCGCGGACCTTTGTTGGCTCCCAGCCCAGGTCCCGCCGCTCGGACGTGGCTACTTCGAGGGGGAGGGGGGAGCGCGGTATAAAGGGCCGGAGGCGGTGCGCGCCGAGATCTAGACGTGGCGCGTCCACTTGCCGGCCTCTGCTCCAGGTATGTGCGTGTCCCGCGGGGGATTGCGGCCGCGTGGTCGGGGTGGGCATAGGCGGCCGGGTCCTCCCAGACTCCTGGGTTTGAGACTTTCTCTTTTTTGTAAGACATGCTCTTGCGGGGTCTGAGCTGGAAACTCCTTAAAGATCTAGAGTCACTGCGGGTTCTTGGTGGAGCGCTTTGGGGGTGAGCCTCCAGCCTAGTTCGAGTCGATTTCAGCGAAGTTCAGAGACAGGAGCAAATCAGATGAACCGGAGAAGCAGGTCAGGGGGTTCACAAGCACCACGCTGAGCGTTAAAAGAGGAGCTTCTGGATGGACAAGTTCAGCTCGTCTGATTCTGGGGCTAAATTTTACTTGTTGCACTTTTGCAGAATCTCTCGGTTCTGCCAAACAAGTACTCAGGTGAAAAGATTCGTAACTGGAAACTGAAGTACTTTTCAAGACTCCTAGAATTTGATATTTGGTTGCAAAGCCTCGGCTTGGAACCCCGAAGAGCGGCACGTGACCCTTTCCCTCTGCATAGGGGTGGGGACAGTATCTCCGGGCCCTTTTTTCTCCCTCTGGACTTCAGAGGGTGGCTTTGAAGTTCCCCTTGCAAAAGGTAACGCATGGACGCCCCACCGCTTTCCTCTCTCAGCTAGTGACACAGTGTATCCCTATGGCTTGAGGCAGGGACAGGTTGTTGAGATGCCGCACACTGGGCATGGGCCAGTGTCCCCTGACTGCCTTTGAGCTCATCTGTGCAAGGAACCCACCACTGGCTTGGGAGGCGTCACAGCTGGTCACATCCGACAGAAGAGCTGTAGAAATACAAATTGACATTAATTTGTGTTTCCTTTGGAGAAATGCATTTTTAATTAAAGAATTAAAAGGAAGCAATTCTGAAGGAAGCCCAACTAAAACTCATGAAGTCTCTCTCACACCTATGATGAGTAGCCTGGGAACTCAAGGCCTCACTCGGATTTCCTCAGTAGCTGGGCTCCTCTTTGAGAAGCGTTCTTACCTGGGTTGTGGTGGGGCTTCAGGCTGGTGCCAGACAGCTGCCTGGCTCCTGGGATCTTACGGAACAGCTTAACAGTTCTGTGCTTGGCATGAAGAGCACTAGCTCCATTCCTGACATTCTGACTCTCTTGCCTACGTGGCACCCAGGCCTAGCAACGCCCTGGGAGGAGGAGGTGGCCAAGGTCTGGCCTGGCTGCTCGGCCCTTGGGGGGTGGGGGGAACAGGAGGGAGGACATTACCTTACTCTTGACCTTGCAGCCCTTGGGTGGATGGGTACCTTTGGAGCCTGCAGCCACCAAGGCAAAGGGAGACAGAAATTAGGATACAAATGTGTAGTTAATCCTGTCCTTGCCTTCAACATTACAGTTAAGGGCATGTACACTTGAAAAAAAATCTTGGCATACGTACAGAGAGCTAAGCAGTGAAAAGAACTTAGTTTTCTACACCATAACCCAGGAATGCTGATAACGTTTAACTCAGTAAATTGCTTTAACTCAATAAATTGTGTAACTTTATGTGTCTGTGGGGGAGGAAGGTCAATTTCACAGGCGGTGTACAGGCTACACCCAAGCATTGTTAAAATATGTGTGTTTAGTGATAATGAATGACAAACAAATTAATAATGAGAACAGAGAAACAACCTCTGTTCGAATAATAATTTAGAGTGCATCCTTAAATTGAAATGGCCCTAAACTGAGGTTGTAATTTCACCGTGTGACCTACGGAAAAGTCCCTTAACTTTCCCGATAGCCAAAAGGAAACTTTGTAAGCACTGAACGAGAAAGGAAGGAGCGCAAGTATGGGAAATGCCCAGGGCCCGGTGTAGAAGTCTGCACAATCAATTAATTTTGAAGAACCCACAAGTGTTCCCTTGTTCCAAATGAAATTTCTAGGTTTGTTGGGATTTTTTTTTTTAAGTTTCACTCACGGAAGAACTTCCTACATTAAGCTTCTTACATTGTAGAACTAGAGGTGATCATTTTAAAAAGAAACTGTTTCGTTCTCTTGTACAAATGAAATTACAGCTTTCCCTAAACTGTTTCTGGTCAGCCATGCACACAATAATGAACATAAAAGAATGAGCAAACCAACCAAACACTCGGTGAAAATGATGAATTTTGGGGCGCTGATTCATGTGACCTGAAAAACGCCATCCATTTCCTGATTCACCTCAATTTCTGCGGCAATATGAGGGATGTCTTATGTCTCTGAAATAATTAACCAGTTTTATCTTGATTTCTCTCCCTTGTGCTTGAATTTCAGCTACATCGATAAACTGCCACCTTAGAGGGGAGCAGCAGGGAGGGGGCTGAAGAGAATGTCGCCTGGTGGAGATACAGATGCTGCTGTGGTCAGGAGTGACCTTCAAGGGGCGCCTCTGTCTCTGGCCTTTACAATGCATGTGATTGTATTAGTATGGCGAGAAACCTCAGTCCAGAAGTCGAGGCCTGTGGACATTTACATCTTAACTAGATTCTCCTGCAGATGAGCCAAGGGGCACATGGCGATCGTCATCCACAGGTGCTCCCATTTTACTCCTGTTTTCCTTCTTTTACATCCGTGGCATTTTAGAGTTGAAAAAAACTGCTAGATCCTCTGATCAGCTCCATTAGTTTTTTTCTTAAAATAGCCAAACATTGATAAAACAATATGCAGTTTTATGCCTCACTAAGATTACCTAGTGCTAGTTTTTGCTCATACACTATTTTAAGTACTTAAAAGACCCATGATATGGCTACAGATAAGCCTGTGATGCTCCCCAGAGACTTGACAGCAGAATCACCACGTGGGGAGGGAGCCCATACTTGAGACCCTTAAGCTTCACCAGGGTAAAAATTCTCTTACCCCGAGAAATGCTCGCCCACCCTTTAGCAGAGCAGCCTTCTCCCATGGTAGAGGTAAGCAGGCCAGTTTTACTGAAAAACAGCCAGAAACTAAAACGTAGCACAAAAATCATTGTGGCACACCTGAGAGTGAGCACAAATGGGCATGGGGTGAACTGACGCCCTGGCCCTTAAACTGAAGGACCAGGGCAACCACGAGGCTACCTGCAAGTCAGCCCTCTGCCACTGCACCACTCTCCCCCCTCTGAAGCTGAGGGCCACCCACACCCACCCAGGGCCCGCTTCCAGCTTCCCCTGTCTGCTAGGAGCCTGTTTGTCCCTGCAGGGTGTTCCATGAAGGCTGACACAGAGCCACCTGGCCTCACCCAACCCAGGTGAGCTTGCTACCTTTGAGCTCACCAGAACTCGCCCCCAGGTGAAAACCACCTCTAGAAGTATTTTGCCTTGTCTTTATGGTTAAATTTCTAGATATATTTTTCTAGCAACCCAATTTCCGTAAAATAAAATTGTGTGCAAACTACCTCAAGTTGTGTTTTTGTAAGTATGGTATGGAGAGAAGAAAAATGCTGGGTTTAAAGGATTTGGGGAATACCTGGGAGAAATGCAGGTGCTTTGTGGCACGGAGATAGAGCATCCGTATAATTTCCTGAGTGTTATTTTCTGACATGGAGCCTTGTATATATCGTCAGTGTCCATAGCAAAGAATGGCTGTACTTTTAAAACATGCTTGATACTCATTAACCAATGTTCTCTATAATCCTCTGTCTTTGAAAATAGAGATCTGGAGAAAATAGTATGTTTGGAAATAAATTTTCAAAACTAAGCTTCATCCTACATAGGTTTAGAAATACAGATTACTCCGCCTCGGATGATTCCATCATTTAGCAGGGAGATTAACTCGTGATGACCTTGAGGTAAATGAAAAGAATATCTACTAAGTGAAATTGGCCAGTGGGCCAAGTGTCTGCTGAAGCACATAAGTGGGAGGATGAGTTGTCAAGAGTCCTGTCACCCTGTGTCACCTCACTTCAGACCCTCCCATTCCCATCACTGTCACCTTAACGCAATACTCACTTCCCACACCCAGAACACCAGCACCTCTCCTGACCGGCCCAGGTGTCCCTGCACCTCCTGTCTACAGCGCTACAGCACCCCACTCGTTCTTAACAACACACAACTGATTTCGAATTGCAATCTGCCTGGCTTAGAAAAGAAAAGAAAAGCAACTCCCGTGGAACTTAGTTGTGACCAGTAAGATGTAAGGCAGTGGGATTCCAAGAAAGGCTTCATATAAGGGGGCAACAGTTAACTGGGTGTGATCTTTCTTGCCCTTCCCTCCTGAAACCAAGGGGCCTCATGGCTTTCATTCAATTGAGTCTTAAATCCCAGCTATAGAAATCAGATCTCTCTCTACATATGTGCCCCCCCAGAGACCCAGCCTTTCCCTCCAGATAATCAGCAACCCCCAAGGCAGCAGAAGACCATGGCCTGGACCTAATGGTCACTTGGTCCAGACCTCTGGCAGGCTACAGATAGCACCTTGACCTAAGTTATGGTTCAGTTCCTGAGCCTAAAAGTAAAATGACCCCTGGACAGAGGAACTTCAGAAAAGACCTCAAAGCTGCCTTCCAGGCCTGAAGAAATGATTTATTACCCTCACCTCACCTCTGATCGGTCTGCTCCCAGCAGGACACCAAGCCCTTAACCCTCAGTGTCCTGAGACTTTGCCCTGTCCT